AACAAGGCGTGAGCATCTACTCATGTCCAAGAGGAGGGGGAGGAGTGTTGACCGGGCGGTAACTCTTCTCAGGGATGTAATATTGAAATCTTAGATAATAAGTTGAATTCTTTTATATCAGTTATATTTTGTTATATATTTGGTACACTGTGTCATTTTTATAATCCAAGATACGTTTAAAATGCGTTTCATCACTATAAGACACCCTGTATATATATGCGCAACACAGTATTTACCTATGTTTTATAGATTTCACAAAGGCAATTGATAAAGTAAGACACAAATACCTACTTGAAATGCTAGGAAAGCTTGATTTATATGAGAAAATATGAGAATGTTCTATAACCTTTACTGGGAACAAACTGATTGTATATGGACAGAAAAACGAGTTTAGTGAGTACACCAAAATGGGAAGAGGAGAAATACAACGGATGCGTTCTCTCAACGGATCTCGTTATTAATTTGCCGTATATACACGTGTATAAGACGATTTCATGTATAGCACGAACCCTGAATGTTTACATCATTTTTAACCCTTCCAGAAAAGTTATCTGTGTATAGTGTAACCGGCCATCAAAAATGCATGATCTTTAACCTCTTCAAAAAGTTACTAATATATATTGCCACCCACTATTTTTTACGTGAAAACTGATCATAAGTACACGCACTATATTCGAGTATGTACAGCGAAATGAACTACAGAGAATCACCCGACATAATATTGGCGGCGTCAGTATACAGCAAGTTGATCCTAGGAGATTCAGACGACATAGAGGCGTACAATGATCGAGATGATCCTATGAGAATCAGCAGGCGTAATATTAACGGCGTAAGACACGCAGATAACATTGTATTGATGTCAGATTCAAGGAAACACTTACATAAAGTAGCAAATGAAAGCCAGAACTTGGTGTCTCCTTTACCGATTTTTAATTATAGAACGTCAAAAGGTTTACATTTTCATTTCGATAAAACAAAAAGTATGTTATTGATGTAATTATCGATAGAAATATAAAACTTGGCGTTTTTTGTTCGTGAATTTGGTGGCATTGTAATGTTTAATCCTTGGGTCAGATAACCCAGACTTCAACTGAGTAGAGCCAGAGCGAGCAATAAATGCCTACATTAAATCAAAGATAAGGTTTCCTTAAATATGAACAACGGATGAAAACAATCTCCACCCACCACGTAGATTTAATTGTGGGATGACTTTACAGGTTGTGTCTTACGCGCTGCAGAGCCGGTGCGTACTACCCCCGAACTTCTCGACCGGTGGGTGTAAGCTTGTGTGCCCCAGACAGTGTTTTGTGACCCTGGCTATCTTATCAACATTTGCTTTTTTTCTACCTACATTTATATACGTTGCAAATTAAGCTAGACACAACTATGAAAGGATGAAAAATTTTCGCGGATTTTGACGTCATTCTGGCGTTTTTTTTTTGTTTTTTTTATCCAAATCAATGAATTTGTTTTGCTCGAAAGAAAAACTCTATATAAAATTCACTATTCAACTTTTTAACAAGAAAAATTTCAAGTTGATGTTAAAAATTGTCGCAAAACATTGTTGATTTAAGATGAAATAATCTACTTTGACATCATGTCTATAATTTGTATTTACATGCATTGTATTTATTTTAAATTTTTCTAGTTGAATTGTTCACCTATATTGCATATAATCCACTATTGTACATAATTAGGTTACAATAAAATTTGTATTTTATATGAATACTACCTTATGAATATTGAGATATAATAGAGTAGGCTTCTCGTATGATAGATTTTTGAGAGGGAAACCAGATCCTTGCACCGGCCCTGGCGCGCTGTTTATCTATTGTCAATGGAACTTTCACCGCATTCACATACGAAGAGATACTAGGACCTATCAATCAATATTGGAGAAAGGGAATAAATTGATCTTTCACTAAGACAATGCAAGTTGCCATTCTGCAAAGATAACAATTTTACTCCTCAGTTATCACTTTTTATCTGTAATGGCATCCTGGGTATGACGATAAACTACATCCAACAGCAAGGCATCTGATCAGGAGATTGGAGGGTTCGGGGAGCGTGGAACCACCTCTTAATTGCTGTCGTTTCCAGATTCATCCTGGTCCGGGGTGGTAGCAGCTACGGGCAAATAGTGAACCTCCAATCAAAAATCAACAGCACTTATCTATAATAAAATGACCCACAATGTATTTTTTATAGCAAAATGGCACTCTTTGCAACACTAAAAAATATAAAACTACATTTTCATAGTAAAATTACTAACAACACAGATTTATGATTTGCAAAATATATATCTGAAAAACATAATTTTATGCTTTCAGAGTAAAGGCATGTACAAAATATTTCTATAGAGGTTGATATACCGCTAAACAAGATCAACCAACCTATCATCTGTAATGAATTGACCTGTCTTATCTCCAGACTGCAATCTCATAGAAAAATATTTGTGAAATGACAGACAGATATTGGTACTCTGGCAACAGTCAGTATTCAACTATGAAGAAATTGAAACAGGTTATCACGGATGTAGGGAATAAAATCCTTCAATTTACGCCCTCGAAATTGGTAGGTTTGGCATCAGATTGCGCCATTTCAGATAAAAGCTTTATCTATAAAGTATTAACCTTTTCTTAAATAACGTTTTGTTACTAAAAACTGTTGACATTTGTGCTGTTTTTTATAATTATGGAATATCTGTTTTTCATGTTTAAAAAAAGCAACAAAAAGAAGTCTCCTAAAATTTACAATCATATAGAAAATACTTTAAAATAATTTACAAACATTTTACAAAAATGTAACCACGTTACGTCACGAGTCGTAGCATATCACATGTACTGTATCCATAACAGCACCGGTGTGTCGAGGATAAGATACGGCTCTTCATGTAACATCAGTTTTTAGGCTCAAATCATTAATTTGCACAGCTCTCAGTGGATCCCTGCTCCTTCCCAGTCATGTGCATTTTTATACTACTTCTGAGCTAATTTGCTGAATCTGCTAATTATATGTTTAAAAGTTTCATAAATTTTTTTTTCACGGGCGATATTACTGTTCTATCTTGATGTTAATCTAATTTCTGGTACACTTCTTCTGACCTGCTATTAATAAGGACACTGGCTTTTTTTTTCTTCAAGTTTCCAATTTCTCAGTGATATAAGTTGTTCTTCAAAAGGTCAGCATATACATTGGTAAACTTTATTTGGATCTAAAACCTTGATAAACACGCCTTTCTATGAAAAACGTTGTGCTAAAACAATAAATAAAAACTTTCAGATAATTTTTCAGTTAAGAAATGTAAAAAAATTCGGAGGAAGCGAAAGCGAAATATTTCATGGTTTTCCATTATTCTTCAAATTTGAATAGCAATTTAAAAAAGAAAACGTGTCCTTAAATTTATTCTTTGATTTGACAGATATATATCTTGGATTCAAGAACAAAAAAAATTAAATTATAAACTTCAAGAAAACTAATTAGAGAGAGGCCTTTATGTAAAAACCCTTTGTGCTAAAAAACTTTTAAATTATTTTAATAATATTTCAACAATATGTGTGTGTGGTCCTGATCCTTGAACATTAGATAGTGTTTGTTATAAAATCCATCTTTCCATTATTGACGGGAGGAAAAATAAAAGAAGAGTTACAGAAACCAAAGCAAATTTATAACTTACTTCCAGGGAAAAAATTCATATATGAAAACAAATTTTAAAAAGTTAAAATTTCATTTTATTTAATTTCGTTCTACAAACTGAAACTTACCCATTGTATATTGCGTTAATTCTACTTTCAAAAAAAAAAAAACATTTCGATAAAATACGTTAACCTATATATCTGAATTAAAGTAAGTCGAGGTCGCGCAAAAGATGCCTGCATATATCTCTAATATTATTACCTCTACCAAATGTCCCAGTAAGCAGTAATCTCTTTTCTCCCCACTTCTTTAATAGCAATGCTCATATCTAGCCATCCACCGCGCTATGTGGGAGAAGAAGATTGCGGGCTTTAGTCCACCCACTTTTTGCTGGTACAGAGAACTAAACAGAAGACTCAAAATGTGTCTTCCTGACGTCAATCTAAGACAATGCTATTGAACTGAGTTGTATCATTAGCCTAAAATCATGGCTGTCGTTAATTTTCAGAGAGAAATCAGAAATCTTCATTTTTTTCATCTATTTACTATACGCAGCTAAGATGTGACACAAGGCCATTACTATGGATCACAAGTGAGGATCGAACATACTACTCGTGATTCTCGTGATTTACTAACGGTAGCTTAGATGTGGCACAAGGCCGCAAGAATGAAGTACTCGGTGAGGATCGAACTCACTCATAATTGATCAAACAAGATTTTAGCTTGCTAATCATTACACTCCGTCGAGTGTATCACTTCCGTTTTTGCTTTCGAAAGCATCCATCATATAATACTAAAATTCTAATATACTTATTATTATTTTGAAAGACTACACCTGTTTTTAAGATATTACTGCATATTCTCACCCAATGTGTTAAGCTCAGTAGTCTTTAATTACAAATTAAAATGTGTAATTAATTATAAACTTGATAATATTGTTACTTCGTCATTTTGCCTCATGACCTGCTTTAAAAAAAGAAACGCAAAGGGTTTATCGGTTGTCAAGATAACTTCTAAAACGTTTATATGTTTATAAAAAGCAAAATAATTCTATAGGTCCCATTCCAGAAATAAAATAAAGGCGAAAAGGTAAAGAATTATGTATTTAAAATCAAATCTCCAAACTGTTTACAGTAGGATAATAGATGTTTTCTTTTAAATATTCATTTTCTGAGAGGATCAGATAGAATTATAAAATCAAGAAAAACTGAAATTAAATTAAATTAAAACTTTACATTTGATTTATCTCCTTAACATCTGATTTAGTTTCAATTTTAACGTCTGATTTAAACCTCAACTTTTAACATATACTTTTTATTTTTTAACGGCCTGCTTATTTAGTCAATATTCATTCAGACACTGACATGCAGAGAGTGAGAGGGGGGAAGTGGGAGAGATAGAGAGTGGGAGAGAGAGTGGGGGAGAGAGTGGGAGAGAGAGAGTGGGAGAGAGAGAGAGAGAGAGAGTGGGAGAGTTGCATCTTCAAAGTCTAAGCATACACACTGAGTGAAAAAAAGTAAAAATGTTATTAAATCTTAACAATTTGTAAAAGCAGAGAATAATTAATCGTTTAAACACGAAAATAAGCAAACCGTGTACGGGAAGCAAATGTGAAACCAGCCCATTTCTTCTTTCATTAGCATCATCATTGGTAGTAGACCATTGATCATTCCAATCCGTTTCCTTGTTAAGAAACTGATTGCTATTTCCATTTTGCCTTTCTCTCCTCATTTAGGATTAGTGATTATTATCAGAAGTATAAATTACTGGAGATCCGTTTCTTAGACAGTAAATCCACATTTCACAAAAATGTGTGAGTTTAAATGACATTCTCTGATGGCTTTGGTAATATATCATTAAAACGGATCAATTTTGGTCATACCCAGCACGCGTGGGCTCTTACTTCAAAAAGTAATTGTGACACTACTTTATATATATATATATTTCCTTCTGGTAGAAACATGAATGAATATGTATGTGAAATATTTCGACTAGCTGTTACTAATCTTGGTCACTTCTTTGATTTGAGTAAAACATTGCAAAGAAACTAGAAACGCTTAAGAATTCAAATCAATGAAAAAACCCGAGTTGATGACATTTACAAAGTAAGAGCATACTCTTTTTTAGCGAAGTCCATGCCTTATTCGTAGCAAAGTTAGGATGCTTGTCTCTGTTGGTAGTTGCATAATTAAAAGAAAAACTTGTAGTTCCAACTAATGATTTATGGAAATAATTGGTACTTATTGTGTGTTATTGTTGTTGTTGTTGTTTGAAACTTCATAAAACCCGGGGCTGAAAATTTTCAATCTTTTACCGTCTGTTTTACCACTAAATTATATCTACACATTCCTTCATTTCATTTAAGAGACGCTTACTGATGGTATCTTTTGATTATTATTTGATTATCAATAATAAATCGTGATAATATTGATTATCATGAAAACATACGACATTTTTATTGCAAACTGAAAATATAACAATTGACATCCTTGAAATAAAATATATATTTTAATGGCAGTATCAACTACTAAAACATACTTGGAAATCTGGCGTGCCTTTTTATTTAACTTGATTTTGTTTAATTGCAGCCTTTGAAGTAAAAGGTCTTGTCATCTCTTATTTCTTGTTTCGGTTGATTTGGAAATATAAATTAAAGCGTTTCTCTTTTTTCTAAATGCTAACGTAAATGGCAGATACGTGATACCATGTTTTTGTATTCGGTAATCTTTTATATAATAAGAAATATTACACGATTCTCCGTGTGTATGGCACATAAATAGAATTAAATTATCAGAAAAGTTGGATAAAATTGTACAAAAAATCAAATAGCTGACAAGTGACTGAGTGGTTTAACATTTCATCTCCAACCCGAGCAGATTATGACAAAGTACAAAATATATCAATTTTGTAATGCTAAAATTCACCCAATACAAGTTTCTAGGGCCATTAGTAATGATGAATGGAAGGTGTGATATGAATGAAAGAGGTGATGAAGATAAAAATAAGGAAGATAGATAATGATTGATCTTCGACTTTAATATTATAGTGTTCAGCGAAGCACCCACACGGGAGTCTGTTTCACAAAGTAGAAGGTTCTTGGGGGTAAAAAAAAAGCTGTCTGAGTAGATCTTCCTCCTTACAATTGGAATACGGAGGAAATGAAGGTGATTCATCTCCATGGAAGTAGCATGTCGTGTTCTCGCTGTAAAGATCTGAATTAGTGACACTAAAGAATGGAGCGCTTATCTGAACATTTGACATATATCGATAGAGTAGCGATAGGCTTGCGATATTGCGTCTGTGGGAAATGAGCTTGAAGGGTTGGAAATTGAATGTGACAAATGAATTACTAATGTTTCTGCTACTTTCGTTTGCTTTTTCACAATTAACTGCTTATATAAGCCGTGATAGAATAACCCGTGATAGAATAACCCGTGATAGAATAACCAAAAACCGACATACACGCTAATGTTTACATATACAGTATTAAAGTAAATTCTGATGATAGTGAAAATTATATAAAATTCACGGTCGTGATTTAGCCCAAACAACAATAAGCAAGGTTTGGTCTTTTCACTGGTCACTGACTTTACCCTTACTTCACCATTGTCCTAATTAGTTTTAATCACCAACAAACTAAATATTATCGGTTACAGCAAAATTCCTAACTGCTTCAGTTTTTTTTTACCTGAAATTTGTAGCCAAATTCAGTGCTAAGTCTGAATGCAGTGCTTTGAAGATCAAAGAATAAAAAGATTGTTTGTATCTAGGAATCAATGCAAACATTGCTGAAAAATAACTGTTATTACATGTATAATATTCATATCTCTGGAATTCGATATAACAATTTACCTCGTTAATCTCTAATTCAATAAAATTCCATCATTAAAGAAACACAAGTGCCAATTGCTAAGCCACGTATAAAATAGGGTTCGTTACGCGTTGTGTGCGAGCATACACGCACGCACACACACATATACTTGGCAAGCTATTTCATCTGCATCTCACATCAGACTGTCCTATTTTCAATCAACCTTTCTAATCACCAACAATTGCTTGCATCCTTTAAATGTTACGGAGAAAAGAAAACAAGGTAAACACCTCCTGATGAAAAATCCTAAGGATGATAAACACAGATGGAAATGAAATGGAAGCAAATGTCGTGTTTGAAAAGAAGGCAATGAAAACGGAATGGGGTAAAGTAAAGTAAAAGAAGGAAGGAAAAAAGTAATAAAGAAACGGATGAATAAAGAAATAAAAGCGGGAAATAAAGAATAAAAAGGAAATAATAAACAGTAAAAAAAAAAACATCGGAAAACTCTATGAGGCCTAAAATTACCTGAGAGCAAAAACGTGGAAGACAAACTAATGACTCACAGCTGTGAAAGGCAAGTATTTGCAGTGAACTGTAAATTCTTTCTTTTTAGTCCCTCCTCTTGAACTCTTCCAAAATACAGCGATACAAAAAAAATGTGTATGCACTCACATGTGTGTGTTAGATGAGATATGAAATTACCAGAGCTCATCTAGTACAGCTTAGAATTGCGACTACTCCTATGCAATACAACATAGAATATAAACACAGGAATGTATACTAACAATGAACTCCTTGAAAATGGTTAATGAAAAGCGATTGAGACAATAATAATCATTACTGTCAGTTTCTACACACATCTAGCCACCCTTCCCCCCCAAATGAAAAGAACATTAGAAAAATTGAATAAAAAACGTTTACATTGTCTGCCACATTCATTAATTTCTTACGGCTTATCAACCCTTTGTGGGTTATTTAAAGCTAAAATTTGTCTTTTTAGATTGTAAATTGATTTTTGTTGATGATAATGATTTAGTGATGCAAGTCTTACTAATTAATCCATAATTGGGGGTGAAGAAGATGTGGGTTCATATCTTTCCCAGGGGTATATGCGTGTAAGTGTATATAACAAACCCAATTGGAATTGCAGCTCGGCTCTTTAACTTCCAGTTCCGAATCAATATTCATTACATCATTTGCACATCCAAGCTTACAGCACCTGCTATTACCAAAGCACTTACTGTGTATAAAAAGTAAGGTTAAAGCCAATATATATATATATATATATATATATATATATATATATATATATATATATATATATATATATATATAGGAGTAATGTGAGTAAAAGTTTATCACTTAGCTGATTGATGTTACCTTCAGCATCCAGACACCAGGGTTTCATAAGGTGTGTGTGTGTGTGTGTGCGAGAGTAAGAGAACATACCATATAAACTAATGCCTAAAGAGTTTGAGTTGATGTATGTTTACCTGCAGATGTGAAAATGTGTACTTTGATGCTGACTTACACTTTATTATATACAGATCTACACATCTCAAAAACTTGTAAAATATTCACATATAGATTAGTATGAAAATATATCCAAAGATTATTAAGATTTCATGTTAATATTGATTTTAAAAGTAGACAGATTGTAGACCGTAAAATAAATTATAAAGTATAATCCTTTCAGGTGAATAAGATTTGATTACTTTGAAAAGCAGTAGTATTCGTAATTGAAAACTTTACCTGAACACTTCTTTATTGCTCATCCTGAAGGAACAAGTGCCTAGCAACAATAGCTCTCCACAATTTCCTGTTCTTTGTAGCTCTAAGCAAAGTTTATCCCCTGACAATTCTCCCCAGGCCTTGTTTCGCCATCCATTTACAAAACTCCTTAGGTAAATAACACCCTGTTTCCCCATACCTATTTTGCATTCAGTATTCCCTGCGAGTGTCAAATACTCCAAGCCTTCTTTCCTCATTATGTGTCCCAGAAATTTTAACTTTCATTTTCTGATGCTAAGTACAAGTGTCCTTTTTGTTCTCACTTTCCTTAAAACTTCCTCGTTGTTCACATACTTCCATGGTATTCTCAGCATCCTTCTGTTGATCCACTTCTCTGTTTTCTCAAGTTTTCTGTTCATATATGAGGAAATTGACCTGATATTGCATAATAATTCAGCACTCTTTTCTTTGTTTCTAACGAAAGTTCCTCGTTTCTTAATATTTTATTCAATATTTTTAATCATTTCACCCCAAGCAAGGTAACAAAGCCACTGAGACTCAGAGAGTTACTGATTGTGAAAGAATGTAAGAAAAAAAAATTATTAACGAGCAAGAACTATAAAAAAAAAATAGAAAATAAGAAGATAACGATTGATATTGCCTTTAAATCTTTGAAAATCAAACTTGACAAAGCAAGAAGCCAAAAGTGATTTCCTCAAGTGAGAAGACTTATGGTTACATCTAGCAGCCAGTTCAACTGTAAAAGGATGAGACCTTACCGCCAATCTAGTACTGCGCTCAAATTCATAAAGTCTGGGTACCAAAGATGAAATTTCATCAGAACAATTACCATGAAAGTATTTATAGAAAAAGCATGGGGGGGGGCAACGTTACGACAGTAGGAAAAGGACTGAAGCAGTGATGCCAGGTCAGGACCAGTGACATTGCAGATTCTTCTTTGGCAGTGAAAACAACATTCATTTCGTGAGAAAGACTGAATTAATACAAAAAATTCGTCCAGAAATAAATACCATAACTTTTAACTTGTTATAAATATCAGTATGCCAAACCCTGTCAAATGCCTTCGAGATATGCAAAGTAGCAACTCAAGCATCACTGTTCTTATCTAAAACTTGATAAACTCTTTCAGTAATAATCGTTAAGACATCAGCAGTTGACCTAGGGAAGGCACATTTTGCTTCTTTTTTTTTTATAAGCCGTCGGATATCTGGGTCACCTTTTTCATCGTCTGTGTTAGTAGCAACCATCTTCTAAGGTTTTTCAACGCTTCCGTTTCGGGAGAGAACAGGCGTGCTTGCCATGAAGTTCGGCATTTGAAAACACAATAAATCCCTGTTAAATGGAATATCAGTTAAATAGGGAAGCCGCTTAATATGGCCAATTCTGCAAAAATAGAATTAAGTTTTAAATAAGATTGTCTTTTTTTATGTAGATCCGTTTTAAAAGAAACATACAGCGGGACCCCCTCTCAACTTTTTATTGACCGGACAACTCCACGTTGCATCTCTTCTCGTTCGCACTTGAACCATTGAACCATGTTGCCAATATATTTTATTGTTTATTCAGGGCTTCTAAGTAGGTAGCACTTGGGACAACTTCTGATATCTCATACGAATACGATCCGCTTTCCCCTTCAACCAGTAAGAACTCCAACTCTCCTACCATTCAGCGAAGTCCAGAACTCCCTTCAAACTTAAATGTAACTATTAATATAGATTCGCGACCGGAAATCCTCAACGTCCGGTTTGTCACTTGACCTCAAACGTTTTCATTCATTTATGTTTTATTTAATTTTCTTTTGGTCAAATGGGTGGCTGCTTTGAATACCCCATTTCACAGATTTTACTTAAAAAAACACGAAACATACGACAGAGATAAATTCACAGACCATCTCTTTCTACGTGGATGTCCCAGTCATAGTTTCACAATAAGGCTAGAATTTGTGCTTCTGGTATTAGGTAATAAACTTAATATTCAACGTAGCAACCCATCTTGTAACAGTTTTAAGAAACAAACAGGCATCAATGGAAAATTTATGGATGCTAGACTTAAACTTCATTAACAATAAAATGATTTCTCCCACTGCCTCCCTATATATAAGACATTCAATATTTTTATATTTTATCAAAGAAAAAACAACTTTTAAGCCTTAACACATTTATTCACACTGTTTTCTGTGTTGGTATTTTTATCTGTTGGGACTGCTTGGGACAGTGAGAAAAATAAACTGTAAACTAAAGACAAATTTAAAAACAAGATAAAATATATTTCGGAACGTTTTTTTTTTCTGATCCTCTCTGGACATTTTATTTCTGTATTTGAAGGAATAATCTCTATCATATGTAAATCTGTTTGAGCCTATTCATATATATATATATATATATGTATATGTGTGTGTGTGTGTGTGTGTGAGTGCGTGTGTGCGTAGGTGTGTGTGTGCATGAACGAAACTAGATAGATAGATAGATAGATAGATAGATAGATAGATAGATAGATAGATAGATCATCTTTATAAAATCTTGTTTGTTAAGCTATATACATATTACCATTTGTTTGTGTGAGAATTGTATTCTATATGCGTTGTTCTTAATCTAACAGCAAATCTTTTAATAAATCTCTCATATATAAAGTTTCCCTGTAAATGTTCTTTTTCTTTTCTCTATCTCATACGCGCTACAAATATTTATAATGTGACTATGACAGTGTCAGTTTTACCTCGAGCATTCCCAACTCATTAGCCTATTCAGAAAAATGCGGTCTATTTATGAAATCTCAACTCAACTACGAAGCCACAGTGCCAACCTTATTTCAACACATTCTACCAACCACTCTCCCTCTATGAACGTTATCTGCGTCCGTTAGAAACGCTTTCAAGCTCAATTATTTCTCTTTAGCAAAGGTAATGCTTCATTCAAAAAACACTTTTTTCGCTTGAGATTCATGTATATTTTATTGCATTTTTCCTAGTGTTATCTTGTTTTGTGCAATCTGTAGAACAAGGGTTTATCAAGTTCCTATAGATAAGAAGATAATGAACATTCAGCTATAAGCATTTTATTTATCTATCTCTTATACAAATGTACGTAGGCACAATTCGGATTATATTTGTCAGACTGTGGCAACCTATTATAAGTATGATACACTAGTAGAAAAATAATATCCTTAAAAATGTTTAAAGATAGATTTCGATCCTAAAATACTGACATATTTTATTAACAGTTTGAACATCATATTATAAAATGCTCCACCTCTCTACATTTTATATGAAGCATATTTGCATTAATTTCTGTATTTTTATAGGGTATTTTTCACTGGAAATAAAAGTGAGTTCGATTGTAACAAGTATGACTAAATTTTGCCAGTGTTTTTAAATGGTTATTCTTTTCAACTTAATGATATCTTTCAGTATTTAAACCGATATTAAAATACATAAGAAAGAATCTGATTAAATTTTTCGATGAGAAGAGATAATTTTGAAATAAATATTCAATATCTGTATGGCTACTTTAAAAGGTGGTGTAAAAAATTTGGTACAAAAAATGGGATACATTTGGGTGTTATAAAATATTTAGAGAAATTTAAACAGATTAATTAATTTCTTTATCTGTCCAGCTACACAACGATTCATACATTTATTTTCCAGCCGGAAATGAAAACCCTCTCATTTTTTCTTACTTTAATGACGCCATTTTTCGCCTTCAGTTCCCCGAATATTTGTATAATATCTTGTACATACTTATTAATATTCCTAAGGGCGACAGACAGGCGGACATTTGACAATTGATGTATCCATATATTTGAAGACTTGGAATTCGGTTGGTTTGGCATCTGACCAAAAAAGACTTTACACATTCTTGACAGGTGCACAAATCAGTAATAAGTTTCAATCACACGCACGGAAACATTAACATATATGCTTAGTGAGACACCAATACACACAATTCGTGCGCCCATTCATTCATAAAATAACCGAATATGTTTATTTTAAAATAACTGAACATTTTACAACTTGGGTATCCATATGCATTCTTTCAAATGTATAAATATGTGACAACAGATAACATAGAATTAATAATGACTACACCTGCAAATAATTTACAAATATATAGTTATCAAAGCTTGTGCTCAGCCCTAGTATATTATAGAGAAATATAGACATAATATATACTAAGAATAATTCGTGTGAAAATATGGAAATATTAATTTAGGTGACAGAATATAGAAAACTAGTATTAAGTATCAGAAAACAAAAACGTGTTTTTTTTTAGCTAACACTTTATCGTAAGCAGTACTGAACGCATGCCGCAAAGTTTTATATTCTTTCTCTGTATATCTTTAGATATTATTATTCCTACACAAGACATTCAAAAGATTTAAAGTTCATGAAGTAAATACAAAACAAAAAATGAACAGTTCTGTATTACTAATACTTCTAACAGTTGTATGTAGTTTCTTATTACTCTAAACGTTATATAAACGTTAGAAAGTATGAACAAATATTGTTATGTCATCCAGAGATACGGATACACGTCGCATGTTGCTAAAAAAATTATGAAAAATCGTTAGTTTGATAATTTTAAATTTAATTACACTCTTGAAATTGTGTGTCTTCATTTCTTTCACAAATACAGAAGACATTTTCTTATATATTTTTCTAACGACAACACTTAACGAATGTAACGATAGGCACACATAAAGTGAAAGTGGGGGGGATTGCTTTTGAAGAGAATTTATTTGAAAGTATTGGTGTTCTTTTTCATGACACTCACTGCTTTGTGCAACCAAATCTTCATGAATTTAAATTTTATTTTAATGTATTTTCACATTATCTGGTAGATTTCAATAGAAATCAAGTGACACCATTTCAGTTCAATACTCCAAAACACACCTCGGCATTAGTAATATCTAAATGGCTTGAATTATTCCTCTGGTTTCCAGTTCTTCAAATCTCTTTTTTTATGCTCTTCGGAACTACTTCAAATGTGATAAGGAATATAATCATTACCTTCATATTGCATTTTTTTATCATTTCCTAAAATCACCAGCACGTTCCTGAGGGAGATTCTCGAAGATTAACACTATTGTGTTAGGAATAGTTTTTTATACTTCCTTGTAACAGAATGTTATCTATGCTGTAGCATTTTCCTTATAAATAAAAAACAGGACATCATAAAGGCTTAAGTAATATGCGCATTAGGGGTCACTGGATTGGTGCCTGTGTGATGACCAGTTAAGTTTACTGAACGAAATTTACTGAGAGTTCTCTAAAAGTAATCAGTAAGTGATAAATTACTGTTCGAGAATTAGTTTAAAGTATAGATTATAAAAAGAGAAGCACTTGAAAATTATATTCATAGATAGATAGATAGATAGATAGATAGAGAGAGAGAGAGAGACAGACAGACAGACAGACAGAGAGAGAGAGAGATGAAGATAGATAGATAGATAGATAGATAGATAGATAACAGGGATAGCCAGTGTTGCACTGAGAAAATAACTTCAAATATAACAAACCAGAAAAAAATAGTTCCCCTTAAACAATATATGCAAAATAAATAAAAAAAGATGAAAAAGCACGTCATTGAAAAAATATTATGATGTAGCTCCTTATGTTAACAAGATTTCAATGAGTGTCAGTATGAAAAGGTTGTTTGGTGACCCAATCCTATAGCAATCAATATAAAGCTGACCATGTAAAAACCATTAGGAAGTCAGGTTGAATCAGCGAATCTTGTTGATAATCACGACTAAGCTGGGTACCAGGCAACTCAAGTGAGCTGAGGAATTCAGTTTGGTACTGACTTTCAGGCATATTCCGAAATGGCGCAAACTGTATCAGTTGGCTTATGCAGTTAAACTTTACTAGAATTCCGTTGCAAAACTTTTGATTTTTATTTCTTCGATTGCATTTCCCTTGGAGCAAGAACGCATTAATTTAAGGACATTCTATTTTTCAGGTAAACTTTACATTTAAAAGAGCTAAAAAGTAAGTTTTAATCCTCAAATTGTATTGGTGGGCCTTAAAATGCACCGACTACTGCCCCTGCAGAGGAATAAGTGTTCCTCCCAAAAACGATCACCATCTGAGTGGATACTTGAAAACTCGTGTATAAACATGATTAATGTCTCTCTTTTTAATTTAATGGTGATACTAATATTAGTTGTTTCCTTATCAGGAAACATTTAGGATTCATTGACCGAGCAGCCAGTAATATTATCAATTAAAATTTATAAAATCTTTTTCTTAAAACAATTTTTCGGGAAAATAGGTTTCTCACGTTCAGTCGCTGTTATCGCTCTTTCCATTATTGATGGGGATTTCCTTTTTAACCATTTATTTGAAGTAGTGTGGAATGTTCTCAAGTGAATACCATTTCTACTGTCTGGTACAGTTCTTTGTTTGTGATTCTATAGCGCCAGTTCACAAAGCTCAAAGAAGGATGCTCTTCGCCAAAACCCACAGGCTTCACTCACGCATTAAACCGAACATATCTATTTTATTACTATAAATATGTGTACCTTTTTGACCCTACCTAACTATTAATTCACTGTGGTTTTATCCTATAAGATTTATGTAGGCTTCCCTATGGAGTATGGAGCTATAACTTCACTATGTGTTGCTGTTGTGGTTTCCGTAGAAAACAGATTTTATAGAGAGGAATTGCTAGTCCCAAGCCCAACCAGTTTGAATTTAGAGGTGTCCTTCTCCAAGATTAGTTAACAGCCAAAAAAGCCTTGTCTAAAACATGTTTTTGGAGGATGTATAAACTTTTACAAATATGGAAATAAAATCGAGTTTTTAGCACTTTAAGTTCCTTTGTTTGGCTAAAAAAAAATAATTATATTAACTCTAGCTATTTCTAATTATGCTGAAGGTCAGCACTACCTATCGTATCATCTTTTTTTCCGCTCAAGTTACTCCGCGTGCCAATTAACCCCCAAGAATACAATTGTTTCGTTGCAACACATATAGCAAATGCTACAAATTCCAATGACCTCCTGTGATCTCGGACGTCGAAAAGGACCTTATCCGCCTTAGCGTTTAGGAGGTGAAAACATTTTTGCACTTCATGACAAAATATCTCACGCCATTTTGCCAGAAACGTTTTTATTTGGCTGGGAATTGCGTGCCGAGTTCTTGGAACGTATCGCATCATAAAATAGTGTTTACAAGATTGTCTTACGGACCATTGCTACTTCTTTGAGTACAATCTTCGTCTCGTGTCAAATAAACTTAGTAAATGTAGTGATTATTTTATAAAAAGTTAATTTTATTCTAAACCAAACATACCAGGATTTTATTATTTCTAGTGGAACATTATGCAGACAAAACGCATATTAATCGGTATTTATTACCGAACTCGACAGAACTGAAAATCCGTAATAAAAAAAAAATGAATATGCTGCCGTCCCAAAAAGAAAGTTATTTCAAATCAATATTTGATGTGGCCAACATTTTTTATTTTTACTCTTGTTCGTCGTCTTGATTACATTGCCCTCACTTGAG